ATGTGATAATGCGGATGTGTAATGCTGCTGAATGCCGATGATGCTAATGTTGATAGGTGACCATAATGATGCTGATGGTATGTGATGATGCAAATGTGTGACGAGGATGATGATTGTATATGATGACGCTGATGTCAGATGCTGATGTTGTTTGTATATGTAACAATGTTGGAGTGCTAGTATGGCTGCAAGTTATAAATATATGTTTAGAGTGATTGTGTTACAAAGTGTCTATGATAGTTAAGATATAGTGTGCAACTCAAAATGTTGTGTGTTTAGTGATGAAAATGATGCATGACTATACTCTGTAAGTGTGTGACGGTGGGAGTTATAGACTGATAGTATGTATGAATCTATTTATTCCTCATGTGTTTTTCGATAAATAAAAAAAAAACTTTCAAATATTTTATCTATTCATTATTTTTGTTTTTTTTTTTTTAGAATGGGAGATAGATCAATGTGGTGTAGGACCGTGTGGCAAAGCTATTAACCATATATATAAATAATTTGATAAATAATGACATGCACTATGGTTAAATACAAAAACAAAAAATGTTGAAAAAAAAAACAAAAACTGATTTATACATGTGAAGATATTTCATTTCTGATAATGTCTCCATCCCCTTTCATACAGTGATAATGTCTCCATCCCCTTTCATACAGTGATAATGTCTCCATCCCCTTTCATACAGTGACAATGTCTCCATCCCCTTTCATACAGTGATAATGTCTCCATCCCCTTTCATACAGTGATAATGTCTCCATCCCCTTTCATACAGTGATAATGTTTCCATCCCCTTTCATACAGTATAATGTCTCCATCCCCTTTCATACAGTGATAATGTCTCCATCCCCTTTCATACAGTGACAATGTCTCCATCCCCTTTCATACAGTGATAATGTCTCCATCCCCTTTCATACAGTGATAATGTCTCCATCCCCTTTCATACAGTGATAATGTCTCCATCCCCTTTCATACAGTGATAATGTCTCCATCCCCTTTCATACAGTATAATGTCTCCATCCCCTTTCATACAGTGATAATGTCTCCATCCCCTTTCATACAGTGATAATGTCTCCATCCCCTTTCATACAGTGACAATGTTTCCATCCCCTTTCATACAGTGACAATGTCTCCATCCCCTTTCATACAGTGATAATGTTTCCATCCCCTTTCATACAGTATAGTGTCTCCATCCCCTTTCATACAGTGACAATGTCTCCATCCCCTTTCATACAGTGATAATGTCTCCATCCCCTTTCATACAGTGATAATGTCTCCATCCCCTTTCATACAGTGACAATGTCTCCATCCCCTTTCATACAGTGACAATGTCTCCATTCCCTTTCATACAGTGATAATGTCTCCATCCCCTTTCATACAGTGATAATGTCTCCATCCCCTTTCATACAGTGATAATATCTCCATCCCCTTTCATACAGTATAATGTCTCCATCCCCTTTCATACAGTGATAATGTCTCCATCCCCTTTCATACAGTGATAATGTCTCCATCCCCTTTCATACAGTGACAATGTATCCATCCCCTTTCATACAGTGACAATGTCTCCATCCCCTTTCATACATGCGATAAAATAATGTCTTGTTATTTTAGGTGAAATTACTCAAATTATAATGTCTTGTTGTATAATTCATTCATGAAAATAGCTATTTAAAATATTTTTCTTGCATGTAACCACAATAGAAAATTTCCTCTGATGTTTAGTCACTTATCTATTGAAAATTGATTTTAACTTGATGTATGATATCTGTATTGTCATTCTTATTCTTTTTAGTCTTTTTAAATGAAGACGATAACTGACATGTAGAAGAGTTAGACATCAAAAATAAAACAAAAAAAAAACAAGAGGAAAAAAAAATTCCATTATCTGTCACATTATTGCATCATTTTGTGGGTGAGAAGACACTACTAATTTGTCCAAACATTTCTAGATTTTCTGCTTTCAAATTTGAAAAGTTGACAGCAGGCTGTAATCTCATCTCTGTTATCCACTGGCATTCAAAGGTAGTCAACTCTGCTAAGACATTTCCAGCATCAACAACATCTTTGAATCTGTGCCAGCCAAGCCTCCCTAACAATTAAATTATCTGATCCTTGTGAAGTATGTTACTCTATGGTTCCTGTTAACAGGGAGCAATGAGGTGGCGATGAAAGTGAGATTTATCTCCCTTAGACTGTACTTGGCAAACAATGAACCAAACCGGCAAGTCATGGGGATGTACATAGAGTAAAAAATGTTCAATACACATCTCTTTTAATCGATGATTAGAGGGTACTGTAGTTTTGTATGTCGATGTACGGTGTCTGAGGGAACTGATCTCAGGCAGTGTTGTACAGGGATGTATGGTGTCTGAGGGAAATGTTCTGTAGTGTTGTATAGGGAGGTATGGTGTCTGAGGGAAATGTCCTGTAGTGTTGTACAGGGAGGTGCAGTGTCTGAGGGAACTGGTCTCCTGTAGTGTTGTACAGGGAGGTACAGTCTCCTGTAGTGTTGTACAGGGAGGTACAGTGTCTGAGGGTACTGTTCTCTGTAATGTTGTACAGGGAGGTAGAGTGTCTGAGAGAACTGTTCTATAGTGTTGTATGGGAGGTACAGTTTCTGAGGGAACTGGTCTCTGTAGTGTTGTACAGGGAGGTATGATGTCTGAGGGAACTGTTCTCTGTAGTGTTGTACAGGGAGGTACAGTGTCTGAGGGAACTGTTCTGTAGTGTTGTACAGGGAGGTACAGTGTCTGAGGGAACTGTTCTGTAGTGTTGTACGGGGAGGTACAGTATCTGAGGAAATTGTTCTCTGTAGTGTTGTACAGGGAGGTACAGTGTCTGAGGGAACTGTTCTATAGTGTTGTATGGGAGGTACAGTATCTGAGGGAATTGTTCTCTGTATTGTTGTACAGGGAGATACAGTATCTGAGGGAATTGTTCTCTGTAGTGTTGTACAGGGAGGTACAGTGTCTGAGGGAACTGGTCTCTGTAATGTTGTACAGGGAGGTACAGTGTCTGAGGGAACTGGTCTCCTGTAGTGTTGTACAGGGAGGTACAGTGTCTGAGGGAACTGGTCTCCTGTAGTGTTGTACAGGGAGGTACAGTGTCTGAGGGAACTGTTCTCTGTAGTGTTGTACAGGGAGGTACAGTGTCTGAGGGAACTGGTCTCTGTAGTGTTGTACAGTATCTGAGGGAACTGTTCTCTGTAGTGTTGTACAGGGAGGTACAGTGTCTGAGGGAACTGTTCTCTGTATTGTTGTACAGGGAGATACAGTATCTGAGGGAACTGGTCTCTTTAGTGTTGTACAGGGAGGTACAGTGTCTGAGGGAACTGTTCTGTAGTGTTGTACAGGGAGGTACAGTGTCTGAGGGAACTGTTCTCTGTAGTGTTGTAGAAGGAGGTAGTGTCTGAGGGAACTGGTCTCTGTAGTGTTGTACAAGGAGGTACACTGTCCGAGGGAACTGGTCTCTAGTGTTGTACAAGGAGGTACAGTGTCTGAGGGAATTGTTCTCTGTAGTGTTGTACAGGGAGGTACAGTGTCTGAGGGAACTGGTCTCTGTAGTGTTGTACAGGGAGGTACAGTGTCTGAGGGAACTGGTCTCCTGTAGTGTTGTACAGGGAGGTACAGTGTCTGAGGTAACTGTTCTATAGTGTTGTATGGAGAGGTACAGTGTCTGGGGGTAAAAGTTCTTCTATTGGGTGCTGTCTGTGGAGTCGTGATAATTTAGGGAATGAAATGTAGTTCAACAGAAATTACAGTTTGCTACGTGGTAAAGCTACACGTGCATAATTCTTAGAGGATTACACATAGCGTAACACTGCTATCATTCAAGTTATAAAAAACATGTCATTAAAATGACGATGACGTAAAATTGATTCCACGTCGCTAAGTAAAAATCGTTTGAGCAGGAACAGAGATTGAAACTCATTTGGATCGCTTCAATCATCACACCGACCAATGACTATCGGAAAAGATATCCCGTGATTTATCGATCATGTCATTGATTAGTTTTTTTATATCTTGGGAAATCAATTATAAAAGTAGAATTGCTTTGTCTCAAGTCATTGATTTTGTACCAGCTAACTTGGATCGGCAGAAGGCCATGAAATCATGTTGTTACGCTCAATTGATATGGACAATTCTGGATAGTATAAGTGGATCTCGTACAGAAATGATCTGGAAAAGCAAAATGATGGTTTAATCCGACTAACATTCCAGGAGACTGTCGCAAATTAATGAAAGTCGGCTTTAGATAGTTAATTTCCAGCCGAAGAAGCGAACATGATTTCATCTAAAACAACCTGAACACTGCTACCCCGTCACACTTGTAAATCAGTGTGTTGGTTACTGTTGCTGTATGTTGGGACGTTTGTGAACCTTTACTGTCAACGAAGCCCTAACAATAGTCAGTACTTCGCGTTTTCTATAGAAAATATACAGTAGCAAACATTATACTGAATTTGACTAGAACAAACACTTTATTGACGACACTTGACAAGGAATGTTCCCACGTGGCACGTGTTTTAGTCATTGTATTGTTTGGAGTATTGTCCAGTCTATTTGTTTTGCGGTTACACAAGCGTGTAGGGTATACAGAATCTATGGGAAGCGTTCGGGTAGATTTCCTGTGACGGTAATGTTTATGTACTAGTACTACCAGGGGTAGAGTAGTATCAGAGGACTTGTGTACAGGTGTATGTTGGCGCACCCGCTGTACACGGGAGACTGGACTACGTACATAGAAATATCTTTCTAATGACGTTACCAGAGGATTGGACATTTATACGTTACTTGGATTTCGGCACGTTCAAAGTCCTGACTTAGTGTCCGACAGAAACTAACATTAATACAAACAGTTCTTGACAAACTCAGTTTTGCGGGTCCTCTTTAATTGGAAACCATGTTTGGATCTTAATTTGGATTCGCTATAGTAATTGGAATGTTGTGATTTCTACAGAAATCCTGAAGTGTATAGGACATTATAACCTACAATAATGTTTGTTATTGTACGATACGGAGGTAAGTTTTGCCTGTGATCGTTTTGTGACAGACAGGGCGCCTTCCTAACAGATAAGATACTTCGTGTTGATTGTCATTGTACTACAGATAATGGTCTACGATAGAGCGCCTTTGTCTAGTCCCATACATATATCCATGTAATACCCAGTCAATGTCCTTTGTTATCAAACTGCAATGTTATACCCTTATGTGGAAATTAATTCTATACTGGCTTATGTGAATAGAAATTGTTGAAATGTACGCCACGATAGAAAAAAAGATTACTTGTTACATGGTTAATATGGTTTGTATACAGAAACGCTCTTCATTAAATCTGCATTCAATAATTCGATGTTAAATGTGTTTTACTATCACTTCTCGTATTTCAGTAAAAGTATTTTATATTGAAGTGACGTATTGCCATTGAATTGGACTCTTGGGTACATAGAGTTTATATTGTATTGTTGAAAATACATTATTTTACCTTTATCGAGATAGCACCTGTAACAAACATCTACTTTGTATATACAGTGGATATAATACCCACAACAACCTTTCGTGTCGTCCACCTATTTAGACAAATTGGTGTAGGATATATATTATACTACCATTAGCTATATAAAATAACGAATTGTTATCTTTGTTGAGCTGAGTAAAGGAATGTATGTGATTATACCTAATTGACGTAAAAACTTTAACGATTTTATTAGCAAAACACTTTTGCAACGTTTACATAGTAAACGATTTGACAGTTGTAAAATGAGTGTTCAAAGAGATATGCTGTCGAGACCATTTCAAGTTTTGAAATTAAAATAAGAAAGTAAAATTATTCTGAAGTAATAAAATCTAACTTCACATAAAAAAGATAATTAGGAATTCTTTGAAATGCTCAGATTTTAAACTCGACTCGCATTACAAACATTAATCCTTCAAACGACCATGTTTACTCCGGAGTTGCCTTGAGTTAAACAACACAAAGCAATTTAACTGAAGTGGAATTCTGGAGGTTTCTTAGTATGTGATAAACATTATACAGGTATTCCTGGTTAGGTACAAATCTACATTATACAGGTACATATTTACATTATACAGGTATTCCTGGTTAGGTACAAATCTACATTATACAGGTACATATTTACATTATACAGGTATTCCTGACCAGGTACAAATCTACATTATACAGGTACATATTTACATCATACAGGTACAAATATACATTATACAGGTACATATTTACATTATACAGGTACAGATTCATGGTCAGGTACCGATATTCATTATACAGGTATTCCTGATTAGAATTCCTTACCGATTCTGTTTGACGCCGAGTACAAGAGTTGGATAGTTGAAATTCAATGCCAAATCTTCTCAGTTTTTGATAAAAGCTAAATCGATTCTATGTTTGTAATTTCTGTATAAAATGTTTGATGGTAATGTTTACTTCTAATGGAAAGTACCTTTAACAGACATGCCGATGGCTTTTTCCTTTAGTAAAACGTGTTTCGAGTAGATATACAACCAATAAACTGATCACTATCGCATTTGTAGTTTTCATATAACGGTGACTAAAGGGCGAATTTCCTCGCTAAACAAATATAATTCAGATTATCAGACGCTAAAAGGATCGACCCTAAATTGGTTCATATTAGATGTTCGTCTACCTTTTACTTGTGTGTTTAATTACGAGGTTTTGGTTTAAATGACGTACATTTTTGTCGACATTACGACGCGTGTCGAAATGGGAACACGGGAAGGAAGGAGATGGACAAAGAACTAGTGTTGTACTGTCGAACTCGGTAAATGTTAGGAGGCTTTCAAAGCGATAAACCGGTGTGAAAAACGTCAGTGATTGTTAAATTCGATTGACGCACTATTGTATAGAAAATTTGGTATTTATCTTTCAATCAAAACATACACTAGACGGATACTGATTAATTAAGTTCTGAACACCACTATTTACAGTATGGTTAACTTGCATCTAAAATGTAAAATATGAAATTGATTCACGTTTCTTACACAGGCACTCGAGGCCAGGATATTATTTTTTAAACATTGATTTTTGTTTCATTGACGTTATGAAATATACAAATTAACCGGGAAAATCCACGGTCATTAAAAATGGTCTGTCAACCGGCACATGACAGTTGTTAGGTAGCTAAAACAAAAATCAATGTTTAAAAGAAACTTGTAGGTGTTTTTTTGGCTTAAGATCAATAATGACATGATTAATTACTGAACAACAAAGCGATATCGCTGTTATATGCCTCTACATGCCCCAGAATTGCGTGTTAGAAGTTCAACAGGCCACAGGCTAATGTACTGTAATGTTTACCTACCATATACTAGGTACATGCTATCTCTGAGAACTGTGTTACACAAATATCACGAAGCTGAATGTTTCTCTTTTATTTGTTAAGTCAGATATAACGGTTTAGTTTCAGTCCAAAGGTATTGATATATTAACCATTAAACTATTAGAAGAAGCGGTCAGTAGTTACGATAAGCACATCAATACCTATATGTACGTATATACACTTATTTTATACCTTATGCACAAAGGACCATCTGTATATTAACAGGAATCAAATTTTAGCTCACCTGCCCGAACAGCAAGCGAATTTATACCGAGGCGCGGCGTCCGTTGTCCGTCTTTTTCATTTCAATATCCCATGGCGCCAAGGAATACGATATTAGGCCAGTTGCATACTGGGATGAAGGGCTACCAAGTTTGTTTAAATTAATGAACTTAACCGACTTTCAAGGTCGCAGATGCCAAATGAATTAAACTCTTTAAACTACTTCTTCTCAATAACTAAAGGGCCCAGGATCATGATATCGGGCCGGTATTATTATGGAATGAATGGCCTTGTCCCACTTTCGAGGTCACAAATGTAAAATGTGTTAAGAAATTCTAACTTCGTCTTTATATGAACTCTGAGTAGGCACTGGGCCATAGTCACGTAGTAGCATGCTTGGGAAAGAGGCTTTTAAATCTGCAGAAACCTAGCTTAACATACGAAAAAAAAGCTGCAGAACATATGAGCGATTCAGGTCCATTGGGCTTCTTGCCACGAATTGTGTGTATCCAAAGTATTAAATAATGAATGTGCTTACCTTTGCAAATAGCGAAGCAGTTTTTAACGACATGCTTTATCAAGAAAACAGGCACCATCGAAGTGTCGGAATAAAGAGATGCCCATATGTGGACAGATTAAAAAACGTGATGTGAATATTGACCGAAAATATAACGATAACCCCACATGGCTCCCTGTATAGTTAGTATAGGACAGCAAAATAAGGTTTTGAATAATTTCAAGAAGAGCAAATTTTATGAAAATTTTTTTTTTTGTCATAAGATTGTCGAAAGACACGTTCTTCGGTTGTGAAAAAAAAGAAAACTTCTCTTTCACCAGATCACCAAAGCAGGATCTTCAACGCTAACTGTAGGAATGAGGTTCTACTTCACCACATCAAGCGTCGATGTGAGTGTGTGGATCGAGAAGGTGAGTATAGTAATAGTGTTGATGTAAATGTATAGCAGGTGAGTTTCGCATTAAACGTATCACATGAATGTGTCTGTGCGAGTGTGTATGGACGAGGAGAGTAACGACTTAAAGCACCGGCGTGAATGTGTGGATCGACAAGGTGAGTATAGTATTTAAGTGTGAGTGTGGATCGATCAGGTGAGTATAGTATTAAAGTATCCGTGTGAGAGTGGATCGATCAGGTGAGTATAGTATTGAAGTGTCCGTGTGAGTGTGGATCGATCAGGTGAGTATAGTATTGAAGTGTCCGTGTGAGTGTGGATCGATCAGGTGAGTATAGTATTGAAGTGTCCGTGTGAGTGTGGATCGATCAGGTGAGTATAGTATTGAAGTGTCCGTGTGAGTGTGGATCGATCAGGTGAGTATAGTATTGAAGTGTCCGTGTGAGTGTGGATCGATCAGGTGAGTATAGTATTGAAGTGTCCGTGTGAGTGTGGATCGATCAGGTGAGTATAGTATTGAAGTGTCCGTGTGAGTGTGGATCGATCAGGTGAGTATAGTATTGAAGTGTCTGTGTGAGTGTGGATCGATCAGGTGAGTATAGTATTGAAGTGTCTGTGCGAGTGTGAGTGTGGATCGATCAGGTGAGTGTAGTATTGAAGTGTCCGTGTGAGTGTGGATCGATCAGGTGAGTATAGTATTTAAGTATCCGTGCGAGTGTGGATCGACAAGGTGAGTATCGCCTCAAAGCGCCGGCGTAAGTGTGTGGATCGAGAAGATGGGTATAGTATTAAAGTGTCCGTGTGAGAGTGGATCGATCAGGTGAGTATAGTATTGAAGTGTCCGTGTGAGTGTGGATCGATCAGGTGAGTATAGTATTGAAGTGTTCGTGTGAGTGTGGATCGCCTCAAAGCGCCGGCGTAAGTGTGTGGATCGAGAAGATGGGTATAGTATTAAAGTGTACGGGAGATGATTATTGCATAAAATACTCATGTGAATGTGTGATGATCGTGAAAGTGGGTAGCGCTTGTGTAAATATGTGGATAGCAAAGGTGAGTACTAATATCGAACAAAAACGTCTGTGTTAGTGTTTCAAACGAGAAGGCGAGTTTCGCATAAACGGGTCCTTGGGAATGGATGGGACTATGTTTTAAAAAAGAGCTTATCTCAAAGAAATCATGACATGACGAGCTACAAACCTTTCAGTTATCTCTTTGTATTCTCTTCACGATGTCCTTTAGCTATTAGGGAGTGACCGCTGTATATCCCGGCCTTAGGGCGTTGGTCTACGTACCCTTAGGTGAAGACCTGAAGTATGCTGTTCCACGTTCCGTACCCTCGGCGGTTTATGTTTCTTGGAAAGATGGGAAACGGACCGATATGCACTGATGTAGTTGTGTCGTTTGACTAAACACTTTACCCCAATAGGCCTGTGCGGTATGCGATGGGCCTCCCGTATGTGGTTCAGTGAAGTAATCACATTACAAGGTGACTCCACTTAAAATTATCCTGGTATTCAACTGTGCAGAAATTGAATGCTAGGTTGTTATGTAAAAGGTGGAACATCGTCTAATGTGTGGAATTCACTCATGTCAGTTTTGTCTCCGATGTTTATCATAGACTGAGAAATAAATCAGGTCTAGAAATTGTCCTAGAAATCTTCCCTGCTGGTGAGTTCCAGACTGCCATATTGGTATTCCTCTTGTTCTCCGGACATTCAACAAAGCATTTGGTCCTGTGTGAGAATGAAGCATCATTCAAAACCACCAATGTGGACCATGTTTTTCTTGTTTTATATCATGATGCAATAAAAAGAATAAAATGGAAAATATCTGTATGATGTTGTCAGTGTCTTAATAAAAACTCTGCTAAACAATGTTACATATCATAAAAGATGTATCTTAATCTACTGTAGAGTTTAATGCATTTTATAGAAAGAAAACTTGTAAGGAGACAAATTCATTTAAGTGGTTAGCACTTGTTTATGATTTTACCGTTATCGCTATATACTGAAGAAGACAGCATTTGATAATTTAACCTTACTATGGCTAATGAATCATATGACTTCTTGTTAGAAATAATCTTTTTTATTGGTTACAATGATATGCCAGTATATTTTATTCTGAGTTACGATATAGATCGAAAACTAACATATTTGTACTACTTGTAAGATGTGGTGGAATTGTCGGACGAGAAGGGCGTGGTGAAAAACCTTCGGAACTTCCCGTTCGACTACGGAAGTGAGTACCTAAAGGAACGAGAGACTCTCATACTCCTCAAAGTTGATAGTAAGTATTTGGAATACCCGAGACAAAAATGTAATAAATTGTTGTTCATACTTAAAAAAAACATAATAGACACTTAAGATAGAGCGTGTCAGAACACATCCTCGTCAGTTTCAGTTTCTGTCTAGTCATTCAAAGATAAACATTTTTAACACATAGAACATATGTTTTATATTTATTCCCGTTATAAAGAACGTATTTTTTTGTGGAAATGAATAAATGGTTGTCGTAGATTACGGGTAGTGTTATCTGGTGTTTCTATCTGATGTTGCCGATGTTGATTGTTTGATTATACCCTTGTTAGGTGTATTGGTAGATTTTCTGAATTTGTTACTATGTGACTAAACCCTTGTTACGTGTATGTGTATTGGTAGATTTTCTGAATTTGTTACTATGTGACTAAACCCTTGTTACGTGTATTGGTAGATTTTCTGACTATGTGACTAAACCCTTGTTACATGTATTGGTAGATTTTCTGACTATGTGACTAAACCATTGTTACGTGTATTGGTAGATTTTCTGACTATGTGACTATACCCTTGTTACGTGTATTGGTAGATTTTCTGAATTTGTTACTATGTGACTAAACCCTTGTTACGTGTATTGGTAGATTTTCTGACTATGTGACTATACCCTTGTTACGTGTATTGGTAGATTTTCTGAATTTGTAACTATGTGACTAAACCCTTGTTACGCGTATTGGTAGATTTTCTGACTATGTGACTATACCCTTGTTACGTGTATTGGTAGATTTTCTGATTTTGTGACTATGTGACTAAACCCTTGTTAGGTGTATTGGTAGATTTTCTGAATTTGTGACTATGTGACTAAACCCGTTTTCTGGACTTGTGACTGTGTAACTTAACCCGTTATCCTAACTTGTGACTAAACCCGTTTTCTGGATTTGAGACTATGTGACTAAACCCATTTTCCTGACTTGTGACTATGTGACTAAACCCGTTTTCCTGACTTGTGACTATGTGACTAAACCCATTTTCTGGACTTGTGACTATGTGACTTAACCCGTTTTCCTGACTTGTGACTATGTGACTAAAACCGTTTTCCTGACTTGTGACAATGTGACTAAACCCGTTTTCTGGACTTGTGACTGTGTAACTAACCCGTTATCCTAACTTGTGACTAAACCCGTTTTCTGGACTTGTGACTGTGTAACTTAACCCGTTATCCTAACTTGTGACTAAACCCGTTTTCTGTGACGTTTTTGACTTGTGACTATGTGACTAACTTAACCCGTTTTCCTGACTTGTGACTATGTGACTAAACCCGTTTTCTGGACTTGTGACTATGTGACTAAACCTGACTTGTGACTATTTTGACTGGACTTGTGACTATGTGACTAAACCCGTTTTCCTGACTTGTGACTATGTGACTAAACCCGTTTTCCTGACTTGTGACTATGTGACTAAACCCGTTTTCCTGACTTGTGACTATGTGACTAAACCCGTTTTCCTGACTAACCCGTGACTTGTGACTATGTGACTAAACCCGTTTTCCTGACTTGTGACTATGTGACTAAACCCGTTTTCTTTTGTGACTTGTGACTATGTGACTAAACCCGTTTTCCTGACTTGTGACTATGTGACTAAACCCGTTTTCCTGACTTGTGACTATATGACTAAACCCGTTGTGACGTTTTCCTGACTGTGTGACTAACCCGTTTTCCTGACTTGTCCTTGTGACTATGTGACTAAACCCGTTTTCTGACTTGTGACTTGTGACTTAACCCGTTTTCCTGACTTGTGACTATGTGACTAAACCCGTTTTCCTGACTTGTGACTATGTGACTAAACCCATTTTCTGGACTTGTGACTATGTGACTTAACCCGTTTTCCTGACTTGTGACTATGTGACTAAACCCGTTTTCCTGACTTGTGACTATGTGACTAAACCCGTTTTCTGGACTTGTGACTGTGTAACTATGTGACTAAACCCGTTTTCTGGACTTGTGACTATGTGACTAAACCCGTTTTCTGGACTTGTGACTATGTGACTTAACCCGTTTTCCTGACTTGTGACTATGTGACTTAACCCGTTTTCCTGACTTGTGACTATGTGACTAAACCCGTTTTCCTGACTTGTGACTATGTGACTAAACCCGTTTTCCTGACTTGTGACTATGTGACTAAACCCGTTTTCCTGACTTGTGACTATGTGACTAAACCCGTTTTCTGGACTTGTGACTGTGTAACTAACCTATGTGACTTTTCCTGACTTGTGACTATGTGACTAAACCCGTTTTCCTGACTTGTGACTATGTGACTAAACCCGTTTTCTGGACTTGTGACTATGTGACTTAAACCCGTTTTCCTGACTTGTGACTATGTGTGACTAAACTAAACCCGTTTTCCTGACTTGTGACTATGTGACTAAAAACTAACCCGTTTTCCTGTGACTAACCCGTTTTCCTGACTTGACTATGTGACTAAACCCGTTTTCCTGACTTGTGACTATGTGACTAAACCCGTTTTCCTGACTTGTGACTATGTGACTAAACCCGTTTTCCTGACTTGTGACTATGTGACTAAACCCATTTTCTGGACTTGTGACTATGTGACTTAACCCGTTTTCCTGACTTGTGACTATGTGACTAAACCCGTTTTCCTGACTTGTGACTATGTGACTAAACCCGTTTTCTGGACTTGTGACTGTGTAACTAACCCGTTTTCCCTGACTTGTGACTAAACCCGTTTTGTAACTTGGACTAACTTGTGACTAAACTATGTGACTTAACCCGTTTTCCTGACTTGTGACTATATGACTAAACCCATTTTCTGGACTTGTGACTATGTGACTTAACCCGTTTTCCTGACTTGTGACTATGTGACTAAACCCGTTTTCCTGACTTGTGACTATGTGACTAAACCCATTTTCTGGACTTGTGACTATGTGACTTAACCCGTTTTCCTGACTTGTGACTATGTGACTAAACCCGTTTTCCTGACTTGTGACTATGTGACTAAACCCATTTTCTGGACTTGTGACTATGTGACTTAACCCGTTTTCCTGACTTGTGACTATGTGACTAAACCCGTTTTCCTGACTTGTGACTATGTGACTAAACCCGTTTTCTGGACTTGTGACTGTGTAACTAACCCGTTTTCCTGACTTGTGACTATGTGACTAAACCCGTTTTCCTGACTTGTGACTATGTGACTAAACCCGTTTTGGACTGTGACTTGTGACTGTCTTGTAACTGTGACTAACCCGTTTTCCTGACTTGTGACTATGTGACTTAACCCGTTTTCCTGACTTGTGACTATGTGACTAAACCCGTTTTCTGGACTTGTGACTATGTGACTAAACCCGTTTTCCTGACTTGTGACTATGTGACTTAACCCGTTTTCCTGACTTGTGACTATGTGACTAAACCCGTTTTCTGGACTTGTGACTATGTGACTTAACCCGTTTTCTGGACTGACTGTGACTATGTGATTTAACTGACTTGTGACTATGTGACTAAACCCGTTTTCCTGACTTGTGACTATGTGACTAAACCCATTTTCTGGACTTGTGACTATGTGACTTAACCCGTTTTCCTGACTTGTGACTATGTGACTAAACCCGTTTTCCTGACTTGTGACTATGTGACTAAACCCGTTTTCTGGACTTGTGACTGTGTAACTTAACCCGTTATCCTAACTTGTGACTAAACCCGTTTTCTGGACTTGAGACTATGTGACTTAACCCGTTTTCCTGACTTGTGACTATGTGACTAAACCCGTTTTCCTGACTTGTGACTATGTGACTAAACCCATTTTCTGGACTTGTGACAATGTGACTTAACCCGTTTTCCTGAATTGTGACTATGTGACTAAACCCATTTTCTGGACTTGTGACTATGTGACTAAACCCGTTTTCTGGACTTGTGACTGTGTAACTAACCCGTTTTCCTGACTTGTGACTATGTGACTAAACCCGTTTTCCTGACTTGTGACTATGTGACTAAACCCATTTTCTGGACTTGTGACTATGTGACTTAACCCGTTTTCCTGACTTGTGACTATGTGACTAAAACCGTTTTCCTGACTTGTGACTATGTGACTAAACCCGTTTTCTGGACTTGTGACTGTGTAACTAACCCGTTTTCCTGACTTGTGACTATGTGACTAAACCCGTTTTCCTGACTTGCGACTATATGACTAAACCCGTTATCCTGACTTGTGACTATGTGACTAAACCCGTTTTCTGGACTTGTGACTGTGTAACTAACCCGTTTTCCTGACTTGTGACTATGTGACTAAACCCATTTTCTGGACTTGTGACTATGTGACTTAACCCGTTTTCCTGACTTGTGACTATGTGACTAAACCCGTTTTCCTGACTTGTGACTATGTGACTAAACCCGTTTTCTGGACTTGTGACTGTGTAACTTAACCCGTTATCCTAACTTGTGACTAAACCCGTTTTCTGGACTTGAGACTATGTGACTTAACCCGTTTTCCTGACTTGTGACTATATGACTAAACCCATTTTCTGGACTTGTGACTATGTGACTTAACCCGTTTTCCTGACTTGTGACTATGTGACTAAACCCGTTTTCCTGACTTGTGACTATGTGACTAAACCCATTTTCTGGACTTGTGACTATGTGACTTAACCCGTTTTCCTGACTTGTGACTATGTGACTAAACCCGTTTTCCTGACTTGTGACTATGTGACTAAACCCATTTTCTGGACTTGTGACTATGTGACTTAACCCGTTTTCCTGACTTGTGACTATGTGACTAAACCCGTTTTCCTGACTTGTGACTATGTGACTAAACCCGTTTTCTGGACTTGTGACTGTGTAACTAACCCGTTTTCCTGACTTGTGACTATGTGACTAAACCCGTTTTCCTGACTTGTGACTATGTGACTAAACCCGTTTTCTGGACTTGTGACTATGTAACTAACCCGTTTACCTGTCTTGTAACTATGTGACTTAACCCGTTTACCTGTCTTGTGACTATGTGACTTAACCCGTTTTCCTGACTTGTGACTATGTGACTAAACCCGTTTTCTGGACTTGTGACTATGTGACTTAACCCGTTTTCCTGACTTGTGACTATGTGACTTAACCCGTTTTCCTGACTTGTGACTATGTGACTAAACCCGTTTTCTGGACTTGTGACTATGTGACTTAACCCGTTTTCTGGACTTGTGACTATGTAACTAACCCGTTTACCTGTCTTGTGACTATGTGATTTAACCCGTTTTCCTGACTTGTGACTATGTGACTAAACCCGTTTTCCTGACTAGTGACTATCCGACAGATCGTATTTTGGTATTGCATGCTTACTGAAGTTGTTTTCATTGTTTATTACTCGTGTATTGTCAGCTTTACTCGAGGATCAGGAGTGTGATCGGATGGTGTACGTTCCTCTACTTGCCGAGCTGGAACACAATAAAGAATTCACAGGTGAGAGGACCTCCTTATAGAAAGTTTTAGCTGTTAAAGAAAGCTGATGAATCTCTTCAGAATATTCCGACCTTTTATGATCACTCAAACGCGGTGAGAATCTTGTAAGGACAACTGCTTGATTTTCCCTCAGCCATATAGAGAGTTTTTGTGTACTTTAGTTATGGTAATATCCATTTAAAGAGGCGAATGTTTAAATATTGTCTTAGTAGAAAAAAATCTGGAAAAAGTTTCAAAATTATTGATGTTATCGTGGGCTGTAAGGAGAATAGGAGAATCGCCCAACCAATGGGTAAGATGAAATTGTTGATTCAAGTGTCTAGAAAGTTTAACATCGTCTAAGTTCTGTTTCATTATACCTTGCAATCATGGATTATTTATCCAACCTTAGTGACAATGTGCCTATAGGATAATTTATCCAACCTTAATGACAATAGGTCTATAGGTTAATTTATCGAACCTTAGTGACAATGTGCCTGTAGGTTAATTTATCCAACCTTAGTGACAATGTGCCTATAGGATAATTTATCCAACCTTAATGACAATAGGTCTATAGGTTAATTTATCGAACCCTCAAGACAATATGCCTGTAGGTTAATTTATCCAACCTTAGTGACAATGTGCCTATAGGATAATTTATCCAACCTTAATGACAATAGGTCTATAGGTTAATTTATCGAACCCTCGTGACAATATGCCTGTAGGTTAATTTATCTAACCTTAGTGACAATATGCCTGTAGGATAATTTATCCAACCTAAGCGACAATAGGTCTTTTGGATAATTTATCCTACCTTAGTGACAATATGCCTGTAGGATAATCTATCCAACCTTAGCGACAATAGGTCTATAGGATAATTTATCCAGCCTTAGTGACAATGGGCCTGTTTGATAATTAATCCAGCCTTAGTGACAATAAGTATATAGGATAATTTATCCAGCCTAAGTGACAATGGGCCTGTAGGATAATTTATCCAGCCTTAGTGACAATAGGTCTATAGGATAATTTATGCAGCCTTAGTGACATTCGGCCTGTAGGATAATTTATCCAGCCTTAGTGACAATAGGTCTATAGGATAATTTATGCAGCCTTAGTGACATTCGGCCTGTAGGATAATTTATCCAACCTTAGTGACAATAGGTCTATAGGATAGTTTATCTAACCTTAGTGACAATAGGTCTATAGGATAGTTTATCTAACCTTAGTGACAATGTGCCTGCAGGATAATTTATCTAACCTTAGTGACAATAGGTCTATTGGATAGTTTATCTAACCTTAGTGACATTCGGCCTGTAGGATAGTTTATCTAACCTTAGTGACAATAGGTCTATAGGATAGTTTATATAACCTTAGTGACAATGTGCCTGTAGGATAATTTATCTAACCTTAGTGACAATGTGCCTGTATGATAATTTATCCAGCCTTAGTGACAATAGGTCTATAGGATAATTTATCTTACCTTAGTGACAATGTGCCTGTAGGATAGTTTATATAACCTTAGTGACAATGTGCCTGTAGGATAATTTATCTAACCTTAGTGACAATGTGCCTGTATGATAATTTATCCAGCCTTAGTGACAATAGGTCTATAGGATAATTTATCTTACCTTAGTGACAATGTGCCTGTAGGATAGTTGATCTAACCTTAGTGACAATAGGTCTATAGGATAGTTTATATAACCTTAGTGACAATGTGCCTGTAGGATAATTTATCTAACCTTAGTGACAATGTGCCTGTAGGATAGTTTATCTAACCTTAGTGACAATGTGCCCTGTAGGATATGTGCCTGTTTACAACCTTAGGATAATTTATCAACCTTAGTGACCTATAGGATAGTTTATCTAACCTTAGTGACAATGTGCCTGTGCCTGTAGGATAGGATAGTTTATCTAACCTTAGTGACAATAGGTCTATAGGATAGTTTATCTAACCTTAGTGACAATGTGCCTGTAGGATAGTTTATCTAACCTTAGTGACAATGTGCCTGTAGGATAGTTTATCCAACCTTAGTGACAATGTGCCTGTAGGATAATTTATCTAACCTTAGTGACAATGTGCCTGTAGGATAGTTTATCTAACCTTAGTGACAATAGGTCTATAGGATAGTTTATCTAACCTTAGTGACAATGTGCCTGTAGGATAGTTTATCTAACCTTAGTGACAATAGGTCTATAGGATAGTTTATCTAACCTTAGTGACAATAGGTCTATAGGATAGTTTATCTAACCTTAGTGACAATAGGTCTATAGGATAGTTTATCTAACCTTAGTGACAATGTGCCTGTAGGATAGTTTATCCAACCTTAGTGACAATGTGCCTGTAGGATAGTTTATCTAACCTTAGTGACAATGTGCCTGTAGGATAATTTATCTAACCTTAGTGACAATGTGCCTGTAGGATAATTTATCTAAACTTAGTGACAATGTGCCTGTAGGATAGTTTATCTAACCTTAGTGACAATGTGCCTGTAGGATAGTTTATCCAACCTTAGTGACAATGTGCCTGTAGGATAGTTTATCTAACCTTAGTGACAATGTGCCTGTAGGATAGTTTATCTAACCTAAGTGACAATGTGCCTGGAGGATAGTTTATCCAACCTTAGTGACAATGTGCCTGTAGGATAGTTTATCTAACCTTAGTGACAATAGGTCTATAGGATAATTTATCTTACCTTAGTGACAATGTGCCTGTAGGATAGTTTATCCAACCTTAGTGACCATGTGCTTGTAAGATAATTCATCTTCAGTTAAATTGTCTTTCTTTTGGTTTTGATGTCTGTTCTGTTCATGACACCTTCCTTTTAGTTTGAAATATCCTCAGTTTCTGCTGCTGTTCGCTGTTTTCCGCGTATTCCCGGTTCCCGTTTTATTTTTGTATTGACTTTGTAGACATTGCCCTATCGCTGACATCAAGAATGTGTCTATCAGATGACATCGTCATACAAAAACATTATTCATTCGTTCTTTTCGTTTCTCTCAGATGCGCTGAACCCCAAACAGGAGATTCGTCCTACCTCTTCTATGGACGAGGATGGGCGTGGTAACAAGAAAAATATCAAAGGATCGTCTGCTGCATCAAAGGGCGCGAAAAAAGGCACTGATTCGAAGCGAACGTCTGCCAAAAGTCCGCGTAGATAGGAGCCAGATGTGAATTAAAAAACTTTGAATGATATTATCGTTATTTCTGTAGAGTATTGATTTGTCAACCCATCACATCCACATGATAAATAAAAGTTGAAATAGTTATCAATAATATGTGTAAGTCAGGCTGTTTTGATTAATGTAACAGCTACCCCCAGGAATAAAGGAGAGAAACAGTGATGATGACTGTGTTAGTTAACGTGTGGAGTGTTACTGATTTAGATACAACAGTAGTAAGTAGGTTTTATCTTCTTGTTCTTGTTGTCAACTTGCTGACGTTACGTTCCTGTCATTTTTTGTGATGCATTCATATAACAGGATTTCAATAATAAACACTAGATATATATATATTGTTATGTTGTTAAAGACGATATTTAGACCTATTACATAACCTGGCCTTGACCTGGATAGAATACCACTGCAGTACGTCCAGCCTAACCCCATGTCACATTCGGCTGATTCCAGTCCCCTTTATCGTTACAGGATCAACCAAGATGTCCCCATTGTAAGTCAATATACACCAATATTTCAATATTCTAGATTGATCGATTCATGCTGACAGTTTTCTGGTTTCACGAAAGAAACATTTCTCGATCAACGCCAAAGGAGCTAGAAATAATTATCACAGGTATACAGAATAATCAGTTTCGGCAAGGGACTGACCTCAGAAGGATTTATTATATGCTGTGTAGATTCGATTAATCAATGACCGTTGGTCTGATCGTATTATTTACCACTAGGACGTCATGACTATTAATCTGGCACCCAGATTACATTCATATTGACCATAAATACATTCTAACAGACGTTTAATGGTTGTATTTACATTTAGGATATTATTTAAAATGTTATCATGTTTTATTTTTCTGCTTTAAAATTGTTTTTCTCGCTTTATGTTGACATACTGGAAAAAAAAGTTTTGTGAAAATTACAATCAGCTTAATAATAAAATGATGCGCGTTTTCTGAGCGGACACGCGAAATGTTCACGTAACGTCGCAATCAGAGTTGTCCTTCCTTAACAGTCAAAATGCAGTATTGGACTTAAGCATCTTCCCCGATCTATCTGCAGGCTTTGTGTCTCGTTTACAGAAACATTTAAAGCAAAGATGTGTTGTTTTGTGATAAGACTACCCCATATCACACATGGCGCCATCACATGAGGCGCCCATGGCCGTGCTACTAAAGGCGCATTACCGCACATTTTGATATAACAGAGTTACAGAGCTAAAAATTATGGCCGGAAGCACTTAACAGTCTAGTAATAAGATAGAAAGGAATACGCTAGGTAAAATATGTCAAATGGAAGCAAGAAAAATATTCTTTCTGTTAAAATAATTTATACCAAAGTAAAGCTTGTTCGTAAGGTTAAAAATATCAGTTAGTTTAATAATTTAACTTTAGTGCACCACTTTCGCGCTTCTCATACAGTATCTTATATAGTACCGTCACTCGGTTAACAGCGGACATAGCACAGTGTTATCGAGTCGCGGGTATAAGGTGAGGAGAAAAGTTGCCCATGCTTGGTTTCACTGCCGATGGGGACCGTGAATGATCACCGCCGGGAGTTTATCATAAAGTCATAGATAGCATCAAAATGTATCAGGATTTGTAGCAATCCCTTGTTGTCAGTTGTGGTCAATAATTAGTCCAATGGCAGAAAAATTAGTTCTTAGATATAGACATATTTTTTTTCTATTGGGCTTGAAAATAGTTCAAAACCAGCCTCGTTGGTCGGAAAATTATTGCGTGTGAAAAAAATTGGCATGGGTATGGTAAATACAGAAGTAGTATATTTCAGTCAATATGAAACAACAAAACGGATTGTCGTGACTGGTTTTCAACCATACTCTCTCTCTCTCTCTCTCTCTCTCTCTCTCTCTCTCTCTCTCTCTCTCTCTCTCTCTCTCTCTCTCTCTCGCGCAAAATGTGGTTTAGGCGGAATTGGCAAGTTTTACTTCGTTGTGGGGAGACCATTTTCTAGTTGGCAATAGTCGCAATTAACTATCAGATATCATTCATCAGATGTTTAACATTGTCAACACTCATTTTATAACATGAAAAGTAATTGAAGTTGCCATTTATAAAGCATAAAACATTATGGCGAGTCCGAGAATTATCTCACTATTATATGGGGTGAATATATGAACCCCTCTCCCTGAAATGAGAGAAAACATTATTGCGAAGAGGACTTAGAGAATCACTTTCCCGTGCCAGATCTTAATTAATTTCAAAAGTGCCACGACTCGCAATAATACATACATGGACTTCGTGAATTTGTGAGGTTTACACACTGATGTGGTCTATAGTACACTATGTTCTACTGTTTATATAACTAAATACACATTAGCAAACTTTATCAATACCATAAGTGATTAGTAAAGTTGAGACCTAATACCATACACTCATTAACTACTTGTACTATTTGCCACATCCTGGCAGTTTCTTCTCAATATTTTCTACACCTTACAAAGATTACACTTCCTCTTATACAAGACTTCCCGTAAAATGTCCCATTGGCTATGTAATAGATTTATTTCAATAATCTCCACTTCTCATTAGCATTATCGACCAAACATAAAATTTGACTTTCGATATTAATACTTCAAGCCCGTAATGACATGATCCTTATAATGCCTCGCATCCGCTGTACCCTCTCATAGAATTTCTCACCCACTTTACACGTAATACGTTGCTCCTAAAGTTTTACTTTATTCAGAACAGACTACCAGAAAAGTTTACTTTATTCAAAACAGACTATCAATAAAGTTTGAATTTATTATTAAAAAACCAAATACATGAACTAATTCACTCCTGATAATCAACATTAAATCATACTGTTTGATATTTTTGTTAACTAGCATTGGCAAAATAACTAAATTTTCAGAAAACCTTTAGTTTTAGCATGTATTTATTAAGTAGGAGAACATTTTCGACAAGACAAGTGTATTTAATACCATAACAAATGTTTCTTAAAGTATTTTGATTTTAGGATTTGACATCGTAGATATTAAAAACTTTTCCCTCAATTTTCAAATTGATACTGCTTTAGCAGCAAGCACTAGCTTTTTTCATCCACCATTTTTATTGTATAAGAATGATCTCTTTACTGCGGTATGTTGTGCGATGATTCTATTACATATATTATTTGTCACTGCTATGGAAATATTGGTATTTGAGATGAATTAAGGTGTCACTTATTTAATAAGTAGGGCATAAATTTCATGACCTGGTTGAATAATTTGTCAGACTTTGACTTAGCAAATGCTTTCTTGGCGAGTAATTTTAGCTGTGAAATGTTGAAAGAAGATTTGGAATAATTAAGACGTCTCAGTTACACTATTATGATTTGCTTTGTACATTTATACAACTCTTCTTTAATGTTGATTGTGTTTTAATTGTATTTATTCTTTTTATGTAATCTTGGAGGACATAAAAGGAATAATAATAACTTAATAATAATAATATAGAAATGAAATCATTCTTTTGATTTGATGTCAACAGGGGAATATCTAAGAATTTTACATATTTGGAAAATGTCAAGAAAACATGAAGCTATCTAAAGAATTAGAATTTGTGTATAATGTTGCATTTTTATTGCTGCTAAAAATACATAGCTTCAAGCTGATATCCTTTTGTAGTTTCTGACATCAATATTGACAGAGGGGAGATAACTCTTACTACCGATGAAGGGAAGGTGTGAACGTTTCAAGTACTGTAGTACTGAACAAAGTATTGATAGTATTGTATTGAAGTACTTCACCAATCGAATTCCTTAAATTTATGCAACAAGCTCTCTGATTGGCAGAGCCAAGTCTAGATCGATTGTGGGTGGAGCCAGGTGAAAAAATACTGTGCAGACATCGGCATTTTACAAACACTCGACTGTCGCGAGAGGTTAATTGGAAGAGTCCAAGTCACAGGTGGCTTCAGATCAGACCTAATTGGGTTGTCCCATTTGTTTCGTTCTACACCCAATGATACTTTGCTTTTCCATCGATGGTACAACGAGAAAACGAAAGTTACTCAGTACTAAACTAATTTACGTACAAAATATATATCAACAGGTTAGATCACTGGGACGGGAGAATTCATAACATCTTAACAGTGAATGTAGTCACATAGTCATTCTGTACTAGTTTTATTTATTTATTTATTTTTTTGGGGGGGGGGGGGGGGGAGGGTTGGCTCAAAATATTTCGGTTTAAGCCCAAGCTCTATTGTATGTAACAAAGAATTACGAATTACCTGGGACCTCCTGATATATGCCGATAATTCATACTGCATTAAAAAATAAAGGAATTCTGTGGTCCCATATATTTTTTATTTTATTTTTTATCTTTCCATCGAAAATTATACATATCCGCAACATGTGAAAAAACTTTGAAGTTGGTTGGGCGGAATATCTAGAGCATTTACTACTGCAAGTTCCAGAAATTCTGACACAAGTCGGGTATATTTGCCCGAAGCCTCTGTCTCATGACATTGAATACATATTCAGTTACGTTGTATTCCGGGGAATAAGGCGGCTGAAAAACCAGGGACACGCCATATTCTTTCAGCATATTTCTAAAAATGCGCTCTCCCTGTCTATGGTGATGGAATCCACAATTATCCATCACAACCACATCGCCTTGTACAAAAACAGGATTCCCCATATCGTTCGTATCGGACATAATTTCGTCGAAGAAAATTTTGCGTACTGTTGCCGTCGTCGGACATTTTTCCAGCGATTACTTAGTACTTGTTATGTAACTGATAGTGTACATTAACTCCGCCTACCGGAACAAATTGGGTGTCAGATCAACTATTCAGGTTGTCTAAACTCCGCCCCCGACCAATCACAGAGGTCGTTGTATACTTGACTCGATTATTTGAATACTTCAATACAATAGTATCAATACTTTGTTCAATACTATAGTAAGTGTGTCGTTCACACCTTCCCTTCATCGGTAGTAACTAGCCATTACAGTTTTCTTTTCACAACTTTGAAGTGAC